CTGTGATATCTGTCAACAATTTTGATCCTTCCAAAGAAATTCCAATTTCAACTTTAAATTTTGCTGTTACTTAAACACGCTGAAAGAAAATTTTTTTAAACGTTCTATTAGAATATTCTAATATTATTCTCTCTAATGTACAAACTAAACTATCATTATATAATTCAGTTCAACAAATAATATCTGTTGAATTTAATTTAACGAAAAATTACTAGACCTAGCATTATTTGCGTCTGAAATTATTTAAATCGTTTGTTGATCTTATTTCAAGCATTTGTCGTTTCATCTTCTCCCAGTAAATCTTCATATTTTTTTAGATTATGGATTTGGAGGTAGAAATTCGAGGGATCAGTTTACATGCTCGAGTCTTGGTAATTCTATGGATCCTGTGGATTCAATTTATATTCTCTAGTTGGAGAATACAAATTCGGGGAAATAGTTTATATCCTGGGTTCATGATACTCGAATGGACGATGAGCGATAATTGTTGAGCTACAACCGAGAAACATGGAAAAATGCAAAGTGTTAATTTCTAGTTTGTGCATGGTAGCGAACGTTATGCGTCACAGGTGACCCTTTACGGCATTGGTTTCAACGTTACATGATCCAGCGGCATTACAGCTACGCTGATTGTGTAATTTCTCGCGTTGCTGCGGTAATATTTCCGCGCTGGCTCATTGGGAGGCGCGGCTCGGCCGCAAACAAACCCCGAAACAACAATTGATTCCGGCAAACACGTCGCGCCGTGGACGCGTGCAAAACAGCGAACAAGGGATTTTCTTGCTGAGCATTGGACAGGGGGTTGGTCCGGTCACGAAATTTACGGGATTGTATCCGTGCGAGAGGCTTTTTGCCCGGCCACGACACGACTTTGCTTCGCCGTTAATTACGCGCTGATAAGTTCTCGACTGGTGGCGACAACTTTTTGCCGATGCTTGCCAGGCCAACCGTGTTCTTTGCGAAACTTGTTGACCCGGTATCAACCGAGAGTCTTTTCCTTTCCGCTCGTTTTCCACCGTTCTCCTCGTTTTGTTCTCCACGTTTCACTGTGATTTGTAGCAACGTTCGATTGAGATATGGGCCGAATTCTCGCCTATTTTGTCCGGCTTGTCGAATTAATATCTTTACCAGGTCAGGTTTGCCAGACTGTTGTGAATTAAATTATAATCGATGTGAATTGACTGTGCGATGTGCGACTGTGACAAGTTTGTTTTTTACAATGTGTTGCACGAAGCTCGGAAATTAAATATCATAATTAAATTATTCTGAACTTGCTCTTTTCATATCTACTATTATTTATTTCTCGTTATTGTTTCGTTTATTATAGAATGAATTGTACAATTAATTAATAACGAAGGAAAATACTCTACGATATAAAATCTGCTGGAAGAAACTAGTTTCACGGTTCATAAATATAATAATTTATATGGGATCATTGGCTATTACAAGTAATGGAAGAGAAAAGATAGAGTAAGAAGAAGCTGGCATTCTTTCGAAGATTTTAAGAGTTTCGTTGCTAAAGATCACGTAAACGACCGAACGAACGGAAGACCTTTGTATTTAATTCCAACGATCGTAACAGGTTCTTTTCAATTAATTTTCCGCGATTTCTTCTTTCGTTCAAGGAAATCGAATTACTTTTACGTCGGAGTGTAATTCAGTTTGTACTCCTTCCACGCAAGCGACTAACGTGTAATTCAATGGTCGTTTTGCAGGTAATAGCTTGAAAGAAAGCTTGCTCCGTTCGAGGATCGTCGAGCGTTAAGTAAAAGTGCAAATGTGCTCGCCGGTAGAGAAGCAAAACGAGTTCACGAGCAGGAAATGTTCTTCAGCTCCGGCGCGGAGAAATTTTCTCTTTTCGCGAAGAATTAAAATGTTTATCGCCTTTAAGCGTTCCAATTCTACGGCCTTGTTTCGATATGAGATATATAGATCATGCGATGTTTATATTTTTATAGAATTTTTCTACTAGGTACTTCTATCGAACGATAGGTACCTGTAAGATTGTTTCTTTCGTTTTGTTATTTGTAGTATCACAAGGATAATTACACGAATAATTGTGTTCAAGTGCGTTGCACCTTATAAACACGTTCTCGGATTAAGCAACAGTGATCTCGCATTTCTGTAAGAAACTGTCAGCACAGTTGTGAAGGAGGCAAGGCTGTGGTAATTCAAGGACAATTTGCCTTTTACGTTCCCATAACAGTAAAAGCATAGTATTCACCGTGTAGATTGCAAATTATACGAATGTGCGTTTACTGGACACGAGGTAGTTGTCGGACACGCCTGAAAAAGACTATTAACCGCGTATCGCCTAATTGTCGTGTAATTGATGAAACTCCAACGAAAGCTTTCGTCCTTGCATTTATGTTCCTGAATTTCTTCGTACCTTAATTGTAATTTCTTCTGGGCTGAATTTTCGTTTTGGTAAAATAACATCATAAAATTCAAGAAAATATATTTTGTCTAGCGGTTAATAAATTTAGTAAGTTTTATATAAAAATATGAATTAAGCTTAAATACTAACATATATAGGCATTGTATAATTTCTGAAAATTATAAGGATTCCCCGGCTATTAGAGCATACTTTCCTTCTTCGAATGATTCTCAAATTATTTGTTACAAATTTTCTACTATTGTTCTCTGACAAACAAGCTAGTAGTGGAGAAAGAAATGTGGAACAAAATTTCTTTACAATTCCAGCTTTCAATATTCTACTTTATAATGCTAAACACGTAGTTACAAAGTTACCGTTGGAACGAGAAAGTTAATACTGAAACTACCAGCCTATGATATGCCAGAAATATTGCAGATAGATGATTATTAAAGTGACAAGAAAAAATTATATACAATTAGTTTTGAAGTTGACATCAATTTTTCAAAAAATTAAATCATTTCAGATAGTACTGTCATCACAGTAACAATCAGATTGTCCCTGTTGCGACAGAAAATGCTTCTTGCCTCTGGATCCGTCATCATTATCGACTAATTCACGCCGCTATTTCACGCGAATTCAATTTCTTCGCGCGACGAGCGTGTCCAGTCACGGTGTCTGGATTCCGTAAGAGGTATCGGGCTGCCAGAAAATCTCATTTTCCAGCCGAATGTCAGGCGAATCTTAATCGGTCGACGGAAATATGCTACGAGATGTATAATGCACCGTAGGAAATGACGTCATCATTCAGTGCAACGTTAGAGAGAGACAGGAAGAGGAAGACGACGCGGAGGTGGAAACGGTGCGAGGAACTGAAGGGGTTCGGCACGAGGGTGAACCACCGACGGGGGGGGGAGGGAGAGGGTGTGGAGAATGAAATAGACAGAGATAAATAGAAGTGGAGATACGTGTACACGGATACACATATTGCGCGAGGGTGTGCACCAGAGACTGACGGAGAGGGACAGAAAATGCGTGACGCGGTCTCGCAGAGAGAATGATAGAGAGAGAGAGAGAGAGAGAGAGAGAGAGAGATGATAGGTGGATGGAGAAACAGCGGGGACAGAGAGGGAGATTTTCGCGAAATCCCGGCAGGTAGCCTCGGTTGAGTTATGCTCGTATTTCCCGTCAACACATCCGATGATGTCTACGGTAATGTAACCGAAATGTATGAACGTTTCGTACTGCTACATTTGCACGTGTAAATGCCTACCCCGTTACGGACCCCGCGACGCTCTCCTCTCCTCTTGTGTAACGCACGATCAGAAGTCCGTGTCACGAATCGTACGATTTACATGTCGATAAGCTCGTTGATTACCTTCGTTGTACTAAAGTTTCCATAGGGGAACCGCGTACGCTCTGTTCGTTCGCTATAGGTTTTTTTTTCACCGTTTGACGGGATCCGAGAGGCAATCAACGCGGATTCCTGTTTGCCGGGCGGTTTGGTCTCGTTGTTTGTGGTCCATTTGTTCATCGGTTTGTGTGTCATACGGAGTTTTGTGTAACGATTTTGCTTGTCGCGGGGATTTCATGGTTCAGTGAATGAAACGTTTACGGTTAATGTTTCGATTATAGATCCTACCTACGATTCTCTTTTCTTTTCAGAAAAATACAAGTAGATACGAATTCTAGCTTTTTTTTTTTTTGGAAAAGGTGGATTTTATAGTATTCATACGGATTATTCTACTGAGTCCTCAATTTTTTTTTCTTTTTCCTTGAAAATGCAATTTATTGGATTGAAAAATTCCGTAATTGAAATAGTGCAAAATTGTTCATTCAATGATCAAATGAAAAATAAAAGAAAAGATTAATAGATGAGGATCTTCTATAGCGAAGATTTAGTTTTTTCAATGATTCTAGAATCAACCAAATGTACATTTGTCCGCAGAAGCAAACACGTTTTTGTCCAATCTATTTTCGCATTGTTTAAGAAACACCGGTTCGTTCGTCGTGATTCTAGGTCAGAACATTATCCGTTCCCTTTTTCGACAATTTTACTGTGGATCGATAACCGATCCGCGTCACCGGAGTTTCTCCAAACAAAAGCGGTCGCGAGAATCGAGGCCGCCGGGACGAAGGGTGGAAAACAAGCGGTCGAGTTCGATTCTCTTTTGACCCCCACTTCGTTGCTGCTGAAACGCCCGCATGCGCCGTAAAAAAGCACGGCTGCCACCGGCTTCGTTTTACTCTTCGAGCTTCGTCTACCGACTAGCCGATAAAAAAGCTCCGGCCGCGAGACTCTCGTTCGACGTTGTTCCAGACGCGTTGTTGTCCGCTCTCGGTTCTCGGTGCTGAATTTCATCGTGAACGCGCGATTCTCTTGGTGCGAAAACGGCCGGTTCAGTGGAGAGTACGAGGAGAACCGGCGCTGGCATCAAACGGCGGAGGAGGAGAAGAAGAAACGTTGGCCCGTAGGGAGAAAGAAGAGAAATTTCGAGAACGCGAGAAGAAGATGCCGCGCGAAAAAGGGGGCGGAAGGAGAGCAGGATAATTTTAAAGGATATTACACAACGGTTATCTCGCACGATCTCGACATCTGTTCTCGTGATCATTCTAGTTGACGTGCATGGCCTCCACGTCGGCTATAAGGGTTGCTTCTCCGTGGAAACCCGGGGGTGAGAATAGGAACAGACCACGCCTCTTGTCTAAGGTTACCCCCACCTTGATCCTCGAGCAGTCTCCCTCCGCAACCGTGCGGGAAACCTAAGATTTTTCCACTTCACCCCCTTCCATGCCTCTTGCCGCCAGTACCCTCTTGGCTGTTACCCCCTCCTTCGCTGCTCGTTCACCCCTTGCACCCGCCCCTCTCCTCTAGGAGAGTACCAACCCCCCTTCTTCTATTGATCCAGGTCTAAGGTCGTTTCTTGCGCTCCAGGAGCTCGGCTGGACGAAATCCCGCTGGACCGAAGAAAACCCGCCTTTCAGCTGTTTCTTTTCCTTCTCCTCCTTCTCCTCCTCTTCCACCTCCTCCTCCTCTTTCTTCTTTTTTCCCTTCTTTTTCTCTCCCCTTCTCCACTTCTTACTCCCGAGCGTAACCTTGAAAACTTCTTTTTTACTCGACCACGAGATTTATGCCAGGCTTCAATGGGATTTCTCGCACACGTTTGTCGCACTTGTTCCGCGTGCTACGTACGTTAGCACGTATTTTTTTTTAATAGTTGTTACTTTTGCGATAGTTGATGATTTGTTTTATTCTAACTTCACGCGTTGCTGAAAGGGTTCATTTATCTCGCTCTTCATAATTTTTAATTACTTCGTTTTACATCTCCCCTCCTCCCTCCCCCTCCCACCTTCCCCGGAATTGCAAGCGTAGGAGGATTATTTCGCGTTAATTCGCGACTGTTTAATTACCACGAAGTAGAAAATTTCATGTTCGCCGTGTGTCAAAAGCATCCGCTTTCGAGGGGAAGTCGAAAAGCATTTAGAAATCTCGCGTTTTCTACTCTCGGCGAGAGAGGATTTTCCACCGGGAGACCGCAAGCATGTCGGTCGTTCCTGACATCATAGCTGGAACAGTTTTATAGGATCTCCTTTGGTAGTTCTGTGCGTGTATAGAATGTAACACCCAGTCTACGTCCCATGGTGAATGAACGTGGTGGTTAAGAGAGCGCGGGGGTGTAGAAGCGGTGCTTTAGCCGGCGGCTGTTAAACACGCCGGGTCTTATCGGTAAAACTGTTCTGTACAGGACTACCACGTTCAGCCATTGGCCACGAGAGTATCTGTAGCCTTATACTCGTTGTCTGCCAGGTATGCATGTCAGTACATTATACAACATTAATGCCCGCTCGCTAAAATCGTTCATGCAAGAAATCCATGGTGAATCGTTAGCGAGATGTAGGTACCTGCGCGAGATCATTTTTCGCTGTTTCTGGACTGTTTAATCGTCAATCTCTACTCGATCGGTCGAATATCTCGCGTATGAAATTTCTGTTTTCGCTCATATTCATTTCAATTCAACAATTTAAATTGCGATGCGATTTATATCTTTATTGGATTCCGTTGAAATGGACATCAAAATAGTCATTCACATGGAATAGTATAAAAGATGTCTGTAAAAAGTAAACGATTGAAATTGCAGTTACTAATATTACGTCTAATTTGCACTGGTCTGATCGCTATTTCTAATTTCATCGTTCTATCTCGATTATTCCAACTTCGTGTCGTCTATTGTCGGTCATCTATTCGATACTCATACTGTACGTTTGACTTCGAGGAGGGGGCTCATCGAGGAGAGCATGGTGTACGTGTTGAAGAAAGTTCAACAAGTTTCCGACGAATTGTTCTAGTTCGGTCGATTGTTTCACTTCCACCATCGGATATTCGATACCTTGGCCAGTCCCGTAGCGATTGTTCTCTCGTACCGTTCCGGGGGAGAATTTTTAACTTCCTTGCTAAACTCTCGCGAGAGCAGAACTTTGAGTTTCCCTCTCTCTCTCTCTCTCTCTCTTTCTGTCTCTTCTCTCTGAATCCGATACGTGCTCACAGATACGTGGACATCTATAGGCTTTTAAGGGACAGAATTCTCTTATGGCAGGGCTTATTCTCTTGTACTGTCCCAGGAAGAACTTTTGACTTTCTTGTTAAACTCTCTTTGCATTCTGATCAATCTTTCTCTCTGAATCCGATATTGCTCGGCGTTGCACGGGCTTTCACGCGACAGAATTCTCTTAAACATTAACAGTCTATTGTGAGATCCTTAGAGCCTAACATCTCCAGGGCAGCAACATCATTTAATTTGCATCGATATTTGCTGCTTCCCGGTCCTACCCGATAGATAGGCTGTACTATACGAACAGATACATAGGCAGGATCACTTATAAGCCCGAAGCACATATGTATTCGCAGCAGCCTTTCTCGGCATTAGGTAGCCTGGCTAGGGCCTTAGAGGTCTCCTGGCAACCAAGCCTATCAAACTATCTTACGGTCTAACCCTTACCAGCCCTTTCGGCCAAAACCTTCCTCAACCCCTGGAATCTCACTTAGAGCCCTTAACGACTGACCCCGCGGGAGACACTACGAAATTGAGAAAATTATCCTGGCCTCGATGTTACACGGAGACGATGACTGTACGGTTCTCACGTCCCCTCTCACGTTGCAACTCTCTGTGACGCCACGCCGACCCTCGATGCCTCGGCTGCGGTGAGCTTATATCGTCGCAAGAAGTCCTGGAGGGACAGCTAAACTAAATGGCCGACCGGCCGACTGCCATCTTAGTTGCGAATTAAGGAAAAGAGGGTGGCCGTTCGTCCCCTCGCGCTGAATGACCCACGCGAACCGTCCGCTGCAGGGGGATGCTGCGTTTCAGTATGATTAGCCTAGAGGCTTCACTGTCCCCATCATGCAAGTTACTCTAGCTCCGTATGCTTTTTTTTCTACGTATCTGATTAACTTTGATTTTTCCCGTTCGATTTTCCTCATTTCTTTTTTTTTTTCTGATAGTTCTAGCTTTGTAGTTGCCACTGTAGTGGTTTAGCATTTTTTTGAATCTCGACAATTTGATCTACTATTTTTGTGCATTTAATTCGGTTTTGAACGATTTACTTTTAAAGGTTTCAAAGATCCACAACTTTCAGATGAGAATTCGAGAATTCTGATCCTTCTTGTTTTAGAATACTTTAATTTTACTATCATCTTTAATATAATCTTCGTAGTATTATTATTTTATTTATCGCAACACTGGCTGCAAATCATCTAACAGGTTAATGGACAATTTATTATCGGAGCACAACTTTATCTTCGTCAAAATCCCAGAAACGTCCTGAAATCTGCACGTCACTTCTCTTAATCCGACGTTTTCATTCGTCCAAACATTGATGGGAACATTAGAAGCGATCGGATACTCGTTTCAGCGCCGGATTGCCAGTGATCAGGAGATCTTCGACGGACAATGAGGATAATCGTTAATTTTATCGACGCGAGGAGCAAGAGAGGGGTGGGGAGGTTGATACCGTGTGCATGCATGGTCGTAAGGATGCAGTGTGGGTGGACATAAGTGTGCAGATCGTAGAGGGACACCGACGACCAAAGGGTCGGTCTGTCGTCATTCTAGTACGGTTACAGCGGCCACGGAGCTTGACAGAAGTTGTAAACTTTATGGTAAACCGTGGCGGCGGCGCCGGCCACGGCCAGTAAATGGGGAAGGTGCCGGTGCAGCCGTGTGCTTAATCCAATCCGGAGTTTGTTCTTTCGACGATCGACGTAATCACCGGCCGCACGTAGTTTCCAACCTGGCTTGACCGACCTAACTCTTCATCTAAGGTTCACAACCCCCTTTCCGCGTATGTATCTAATTTGCCGGTGTTTGTCGATGCTCGCGTTTCTCGCGCGGCCTCGTGTTCCTAATTGCTTCCGATCGGCGACTTTTCCAAAGTACTCGCCGCCATCTTTCCACGCCACGAATCTTTGCTTTTCGAAGTCGCTCGTTTACGGCGTGCAATTTCCTTCTCGTAAGGACTTTTATTTTTGAGACAAGAAGACTAGATATTGGATATTTTGCGTTGAATTATCGAATATCGTTTTTTGCAGTCGATTAAATGAATTGGTAAATTTGTTGTAAAGAAACTTCATTGCCTAACAGGCATTACTTCGAGGAATATGCAAAGGATTTAATTTACTTTTAGATATTGTATACTATCGTTAAAATTGTTTAACTGTAACGAATAAAAAATATATTTAATTTAAATCGCTCTTAAATTTTACTGTATTATGTCGTCTTCGTAAAACCATCCGGAAAGATGCATTTCTGTTATTAATACTCATAAAATGCAATTTTTCTTACAAACTAAAAATACGCGTGATTTGAAAGCGAACGGACGTGTTCTCAGTGAGATTAAATTAAAGGATACGAAACGTCTAGATTTACATTAAATTTCTACTAAATTCTTTTACCTGAGAAGTAACTCAGTCACGTATAAAAATCTTCCGTTACATCTGGAATTACAAAAAGGAACGTCCATTTGGAAAGGCAAAGAGCTAAATTTAACTTTCAGAGAGGGAAAGAAAAGAACGGCACTCGAGTAATTTAAATAATATGCGCTTATGAATCTTGTTCTTTACCCGACAGGAAGAAAGTCAAAGAATTTCTTGACTTTTTGTCTCTCTTAGCTTCGCTCTGGAAGATAAATGTCAGGAAACTGGGATATCATCAAGCGTTTCTGTGTTACGTGTTTAAAAAAAAAAAAAAAAAA